ACTCCCCTCAATCCCTCCTCCCCTTCTTTCCCCCCGCACCTCTCTGCTTCTCCAGCTCCATCCAGTCCGACGTGGCGTGTCTGGCGGCGCGACGCGCTTTCACGGTTCCCGCTTCGTGGATCGCCCCGCCGTACAGCAGCAGCTTCTCCGTCTGCGCACGCCGCAACGAGGGGGGGGGAGACGACGGGGAGCGGGAGGCGTGGGGGGTGGTGGAGAGGGGGAGAAAGGGGGAAGAAACAGGGGGAACGGGAAGGGGGGAGGAGAAAGGAGGGAGCGGGAGGGGGGGGGGGGGGGGGGGGGAGAAAGGGGTGAGCGTGAAGGGGGGAGGAGTCGCTCCCTCGTATAGCAGCAACTTCTTCGGCACTAGCAGGAGCGGGATCGCAAAATAAGCGGGAAGACGCAATATGGAGCAGCCTGTCCGCGTCGTACCAGCGTCGTCTTTCCCGCGTCAGGATGCGAAATGATGGCGAAGTTACGACGCTTCGCCACCTCCTTCGCCAGCGCCTCAGGGCTAATCTCCATCGCCGCGCCTCCCTCCTCCTCCTCCCCGGACGAAACCGTCCCACTCTTCTTCCGCGCGCTCTTCCGCCGAAACCCCCGCGCGCCTGCTTCTTCCGCCGACTCCACTTCGCCGTCGCTCCATTCCCCAGCGCTCACCTCCCCGTCACTCTCAATATCGCTTTCCACCGAGGATTCAGAATCTGACCGTTGCGGTTCGTCTACGGCAAAAGCTAGCACCTCTCGCTCAGTGACGTCAGCAGCCTCATCCACGGGCGCGACTGCTGGCGACGCGGCAGAAATGGGGGAAAGCCGCGCGCGGGAGGGGTTTCCGCTGGGAACAGCCCCGTTAGAGGCGGCTCCGCTGCAACGCACAGATAGCGCGTGTCGTTGACGAAGGTGTGCGGAAGGAACGCCTGAGTGAGGACGCGCAAGGTGCGGCGATGACGCGCCGTGCATAACGTGCTGGCATGCGGGAGAGGGAGACGCAAGGTGAGGGAGGAGACTGCCACGTGGGCAGCGCGCTGCAGTGGCCGCCATTCCGAGGGTGTCGCAAAAGCGTCTGTTGGTAAAAGTTACTAGCTGTCGCCTAGACTGCTGGCCCCACTCCTCGTGTGACTGACGGCCCGTGAATGCGTGAATCACGGGGTCAGTACTGGAATGCTAGCACGGGAAAAAGGTGGAGTTTGAAACCCAAGTGAGCTTTTGGTGGTGGGTGCTGGCGGTTTGTGTGGGTGGAGGGTGGTTCGTTCAGAACCACACGTTCTGTCACGCCTAGCCGTTCGTCAGAATCGGGGGTTCAGCCGGAGTGTGGTGCTTTCTGTTGTCTGTGTGATAAAAATAAGTTTCCGGGATAGTGTAATGCGAGTGTACAGTGCACACAAAAGGAGAACCTTTATCCATTATTTCACTGTCATCAAAGCCGTATTCGATTGCTTACCAGAGTTCTAAATACCAGACTTTCAGAACCCCTAAAACGGTTGACACATGACAGAAAGCCTTACGGACACCTTGACACGAAGTTGAGCTCGTTTCAAGTTGCGCACCAAACAGCACCAAGAACGAGACCCTGGTGTTCGGGCCCCCGAAAGGAGATCATTGCTGCCACGTAGCGCTTTGCACTACAGTTGAAGGTCGACATTTTCTGAGGGCAGCCGTCAACTGCCACGAGGTCCATTCACGCGTGGGCTAGGCGAGTCCCTGCCACGTTGCCAAACCTGATCAATATACGCGATTGTAGCAGTCACGTGTAAATAAACAGCCAACCTCTTGTAATCTCATGCAGTACAAAATAGGGTTGAAAAGTTCCGTGTATCCGAAGCTATCACCATCAGGCACGGACCTCTGTTGGCTCTACTTGTCTCTCCCCTTCGTCTGTGCACTGCACTCCAATCCAATTTCTGGTCTCTCCGCTCCGCCCTGCTTTCTCTCCGAGCTTCATGAATGAAGATTTCGTGTCCATGAAGCTGTGATCGCTGATTGTGTTCTCGCAAGTGCTGGTCAAATTCCTGGAGGCGCCACTTCTGGAACTAGGACCAGAACCGACATATCTCCACCGTTGTGCAAAGCGTAATACCTCTAGGTGAACGAAAAGCGTTGCCTTTCGTGCCTCTCGAATCCCATGCGTCTCGCAATGTCGACCCCTCCACCAGCCCCTTTCACCCACGACTCGCGTCTTCGCGAATCGGGGCAATGTTCGCCAGATAGCATGGTTACCACAGAGGTCCCTTCGCAACGGCGTTCCGTTTCAGAATCACCTGGAGAAGCGCTCGCGGACGAAATCACAGCCTTGGTGCACTCACAGGTCCAGGGAGCGGTTGTCACCGATGTCTTTCAGCAAGGGGAATGGAAGAGTATTAGGATGGATAAGGTACACGTGAAGCGATGCTCTGTGACAGCCGGACAAGGTGGAGTGGCTTCAGAGGAGGCTTTTGCGTGGATTCGAGACTTGGCAAGAGAGGAGATGGAGGGTTCGAGGCTGCTGCAGATGCGACGACTGAAAGGGTCGCAGGACTTGCAAGAGTCGCAAGAGTCGCAAGGGTTGCAAGGGTCGCAAGATAAGGCGCACGTGAAGGCCGAGGCGAACGGGCGGAAGTCTGAGTCCGAGCCTGCAGAGCTTCGATCCGAGCCTGCGGGGACACAGTTTGATTTTGATTTTGCGGAGTTTCGATCCGGACGTGCAGAGCAGCGACACAAGCCTTTCGAGCCCCCGTCTGAGCCTGTGGATCGAATCTCCGAACTGGTAGAGTTCCGTTTTGAGCCAGCTGAGCTCCAAACCGAGCAAGCTGAGCTCCGTTCCGAGCCTGCTGAGGTGCGATCCGAGCCTGCTGAGGTCCGATCCGAGCCTGCTGAGGTCCGATCCGAGTCTGCTGAGGCCCGATCCGAGCCTGCTGAGCTCCAATCCGAGCCTGCTGAGCTCCGATCCGAGCCTGGTGAGCAAGCACAGGGGCTAACCTCGATATCGGAAGGGGATGTGTTACAGGCGAATGGTTCTTGTACAGGACTTCCACCCCAGGTGGAAGCTCAGGTGGAAGATTCATCAAGTGCCCAGGTGGACCGTCAGGTTCAGAGCCAGCAGAGCAAGGTGAGCCAGCAGCATGTGCAGCAGCAGCAGCAGCAGCAGCAGCAGCAGCAGCAGCAGCAGCAGCAGCAGCAGCAGCAGCAGCAGCAGCAGCAGCAGCAGCAGCAGCAGCAGCAGCAGCAGCAGCAGCAGCAGCAACAGCAGGAGCAGCAGCAGCCGGAGCATAGGCAGCTTGGGCAGGTGCCAGACCAGGGGCAATTGTACAAGCCTTTCCTTTTTCAGATTCAACAGTCTAGTGGGAACTTTAATCTGCAGCAGCAGCTGCACCGACAGGCTCCGCCGCTGTCGCAGGAGGAGGAGGAGGAGCAGAAGCAGCAGCAGCAGAAGCAGCAGCAGCAACAACAACAACAGCAGCATCTAATGTACATTTATGGGAACGGGAATCATTCTGACCATCATCCTCCTCCTCCTCATCCCCATGTACATACCACATCTTTCTCTCACCTCCCTTTTCCCTATCTCTTCCAACACCTGCAGCAGCATCAACTGCCAGCATCGCTGCCTGTGACCCTCCCACTCCACCAGCACCATGTTCACCAACAGTTCTACCAGCAGCAGCAGCAACAGCACCACCAGCAGCAGCAGTGTATTCAGCAGCCCAGCAACCATGCAACCACGCTCAGCCACACAGCATACCACGATCCACCATGCAGCTTCAAGTTCAACAGCACCAGCACCAGCAGCTTTAACAGCATCGGGAGCACCAGCACCACCACCGGCAGCAGCAGCAACAGCACCACCAGCAGCGGCAGCGGCCACACGTTGGGCGTGTTCTGGGACATTGAGAATTGCTCCGTGCCGTCTGACGTGCGCCCTGTGGACGTTGCATGCCGAGTGCGTGCCGGCCTCGCCTCGCATCCCGCCACCGCTGCCGCCCGCATCACCAGTCAGTTCTCCTGCCCTGCATCGCCCTCGCATCATCTTTACATTTGGCTCATAACCTTCTTTTGTCTCTTCTTCTCTTCGCTGCGTCCTTCACTCCACTTCTATCCTTCCGTTTCTTTCCGTCCATTCGTTGCCCTCCCCCTTTACTTGACCCTCTCTGGGACTGTTTCGCATCTCCGTGGCTGCCTTGCTAGCAAGCTGACGCACCCTTCCACGAGACAACCTCCCTTTTCTTCCTCCATTCTATCTTCCCCTCATTACTCCCCCCCTCTCCCCTCCCCTTTCCTCCCCGCCCCGCCCCTCCCCTGCCCCCACCAGCCTTCACAGCATATGGCGACTTCGCTCTGATCCCCAGCCGCATCCGTGAGGCACTCCAGCGCACAGGCGTCACTCTCGCGGACGTGCGTAGCGGGCGTAAGGACGCCTCCGACAAAGCCATTCTCGCAGACCTCTTCCTCTTCGATCTCGACCACCCTCCGCCCTCCTCCATCCTGCTCGTCTCTGGGGACGTGGATTTCGCCCCTGCGCTGCATAAGCTGCGGCAGAGGGGGTATGGAGTGCTGCTGCTGGCGCCGGTGTATGCACATGCGGGAGTTTCGGCGTCGCTGCTGTCGGGTGCGGGGTTTGTGTGGGATTGGCTTGCGCTGGTGCGCGGGCAGGGGCTTGTGCCGTTTGTGGGGTTGCAGGGGAGGCGGCGCGCGTCTGGTGGTGCTTCTGCTGCTGCCGCCGCTGGTGCCGCCGCTGCTGCTGCTGCTGCTGCCGGTGCTGGTACAGGTGTTGCTGTGGGGGAGGAGGAGATGGTGCAGGGCTGGAGGATGGGGCAGATGATGCAGGCTGGGGGAGAAGGCAGTTATTGCACTGGCGGTGGCAGTGGCAGTTCCGGTGGTGCTGGGGGGATGTTTGCAGGTGGGGGGATGTGGGGTCCTGGTGGTGTGGATGGGGGGCAATGGATGGGAACGAATGGGCTGTTTCAATGTCATTCCCAGCATCACCACCAGTTGCCTTTGCCGACGGTCCCAATGCCCTTCGCTGCCCCTCAGCTGCCTTGTTCTGATACTGGGGTTCTCTCACTTCCATCTGCTGCTGCTCCGCCTTCCTCCTCCTCCTCCTCCTCCTCCTCCTCCTCCTCCTCCTCCTCCTCCTCCTCCTCCTCCTCCTCCTCCTCCTCCTCCTCCTCCTCCTCCTCCTCCACCTCCTCCCTTCCCTCCTCCTCCTCCTCCTCCTCCTCCTCCTCCTCCTCCTCCTCCTCCTCCTCCTCCTCCTCCTCCTCCTCCTCCTCCTCCTCCTCCTCCTCCTCCTCCTCCTCCTCCTCCTTTCCCTCCTCCCAGCCACATCCTCTACCACCTCTCAAACCTCTTCCCACTTCACAGTACCACCCAGCACCCCACTCAACCCCTAGTAACCCGGCCACTTGTCCCCCACAGCCTTTACACGGAAGCCTTTCCTCCAGTTCTTCTGGTGCAACAGCAGGCATGGATGGGGGAGTGGGGGGGGGGAATAGCGAAGAGGTGAGCGTGGAAAGTGGCAATAAGAGCAACGGGCACGACGCACCTGCGTCCACTCACACGTCCACTCAGACACTTACTGACACGCTAACTGGCACTCAGATGTGCAGCACTGCCTTGTCTACTGACGTGGTTGTGTCGACTGATTCTTTGGGTAAGTCGTCTGACATGATGGCAAGTAATCTCGCTGTACATACAACTGCTGCTTATTGTGCCAGAAGTGGGAGTGGGAGTGTTGTGAACTCCGGTATTTTTGCTGCACATGGTGCTGCTGCGGTAGCTGCTGCTGTCGATGCTGCTGCCGATGTTGCGGCCGATGCTGTTGTTAAAGCCACAGTAACAGCTGCTGGTGATTCTGCATCTGCTGGTTCTGCTGTTGCTTCTGCTGCCATTTCTGCTGCTGGTGCTGCAGATGCGGCAAGCCAAGATTGCACTGCTATGGTGCCTGTCTCTGCCCCCCTTCCTCTACCTCTTCCACCCTCCTTTCCTAACTCAAGGGAAGCAGGGTTTATTCACGCTGCTGCTGACACTGACACACGTATCTTTGCCCATGATACAAGTGGCAATCCTGGAACAACAGCTCCGGACCTGTTTCACATCCCAAACAAGCTGAGTTTTCCCCTTTCCTCTGCTCCTCACGGACCTCACCCCCCGCCGCCGTTTACAAGCCAAGACATTGACCCATACTCGCCACACGCTCTCCTTCACCTCCCTCACTCTCACCACCCATCCCACATCCACCCACTCCCGTTCCCCTTCCCCTTCCCTCCTCACAACCACCACTTCCCCCCACCCCCTCCTCCTCCTCCCCTTCCCCTGCACCTCCCGGACATTTTCGCCCCGGCAAAAGCTGGGGACGTTTCGAATCTATCCCGCCGCCTGCGCCACCTGCTGCATCTGAACGGGGGGCGTATGAACCTAACTCGCGTTCCCTCGGAGTTCCGCCGAGTGTTTGGGCTGCGGCTGTGCTTGACTGAGTTCGGCGCAAACAAGATCGCGCAAGTTGTTGCGAAGATGGATGGGCGGGTGATTGGGGTTGAAGGGAGTGGAGTGAAGCGGTTTCTGCTGCTGAAGGAGGGGTCTGCAGGGGTTGGAGGCGGTGGAGAGGGTGCAGGGCATGTAGGAAACGCTGGGTATGCAGGGGAGGTGGGGTATGGAGGGGACAGGGTTAAGGGAGGTGATGGTGGTTTTGAAAGGAGCACAGGGAATGCAGGGGGGTTAGGGAGTGCGGGAGGCTCTTGGAAAGCACCTTTGCTGGTTCCTGTGTCTGTTCTGACTAGTGCTGCTGCTCCTGATGATGATGTGCGTGGGAAAGCGGGGAAGGGGAAAGGCAAGGGGAAGAAGACGGGGACGGGGATGGGGATGAAGATGATAAGAGGAGTAACGGGGGGTGATGCTGAGAGGAGGGAAGGTGCAGGAGTTGGCGTGGGACCAGGGGAAGAGGGGAGGGTGATCGGGGGAGAAGAGGGAGAGGTGGTTGTGGTGGTGGAGGGCGAGAGAGAGGGTGCTGCAAGAAACGAAGCAGTGGAGGAGGAAGGGAGGGGGGTTGAGGGGAAAATGTTTACAGATGGTGGCAGGAGAGGAAGGGAGGCGGAAGGAGCAGTTATTAGTACGGTGGGGGAGGGTGAGAGGCATGGGGTTTGGGATGCAGGAGTTGCTGAGAGGGCAGTTTTGCCTGTATGGGAGCCGTTTGCAGGGTTTGAGGACTTTAGTGGTGGTATAGTTGGTGGCACAGTTGGTGCAGCTGATATCACTGCTGGTGCGGCCCTGTGTGGATATGAGACAGTTGGTGTTCGTGCGGTGGCCGGCGTGTGTGCTGCGTTGGCGTGTGCGGGTAGCAGCAGTGCGGCCTTTCCGGACCTATTGACTGGAGACGAATGGGTTGGGGCGCAGCGAGAATCTTGTGACACAGATGCTGTACTTTTGGAGGAGGAGGGTTTGAGAGAAGCAGAGGCGCAGGCGAAGGCAGGGACGAAGTGCAAGGGAGGGGGTGAGACAGACGCAGGGCCGAGAAGGGCTGCATCAGAGGCAGGGGTGGAGGCAGTGACAGTGGTAGGAGGAGCAGTGCGGGGGATACGGGTGGAGGGGATGAGGCTTGGCTTGCCAAACCATGCACCTGCAGGTGCATCTGGTGGGTTGGTTAACCCAGGGTTACCTGGTAACTCGATTGTTCGTTCTGGTGTGTTCAGTGGCTTCTCCTTTTTACCCGTTTGGATGTGGAGGGGTGGAGGGGGAGGTGGAGGGAAAGTGCATGGTGTAGAGGGGTGTGGAGAGATTGCGGGTAGCGAGGCAAGGGGGGAGACAGAGAGGGGGAGTGGAAGCAGAAGAGGAGGCGGGGGCGAGAGTGGGAATTGGGAGAGGCTTCTAGGGGATTGGGAGAAGGTGTGGGGGAGTGAAGAGGCAGGCGGGAGGGGGAAGGGAGAGGAGAGCGGGGAGGAGAGCGCGGAGGAGAGTTGGGGGGAGAGTGGGGAGGAGAGTGGTAAGGAGAGTGGGGAAGTGAATGGTCAGGAGAGTGTGAAGAAGGGCTGTGAAAGTGGAAAGGAGAGTGCTAAGGGGAATGTCGAGGAAAGTGGGGAGGAGTTTGGTAAGGATAGTGGGAAGTGGAGTGGGAAGGATAGTGGGGAGGAGAGTGGGGGGGAGAGTGGTAAGGAAGTTGGGGGAAAGAGTGGGGAGGAGAGTGAGGTGGAGAGTGGGGTGGGGAGTGGGGTGGAGAGTGCTAAGGAGATCCAGAGCGAGAGTGATAAGGAGGATGGGGAGGAGAGTGGGGAGGAGAGTGGTAGGGAGAGTCGGGAGGAGACCATTAAGGAGGAGAGTGGGGAGATAAATTTTTGGGAAGAAGTAGAAGAGAAGGGAAAGAGGAAGCAGAGTGACGACAGAGTTGTGAAGGGGAGTGGGGAGAGTGGTGCAGGGGACTGTGCTCTGCACTGCCTTCCGCTCAAGCCACCCGTTTGTATGGAGAGTAGTGAGAGCGGAAGAGAGAGTGCTGAAGGTAGTGTTAAGGAGAGCGGGGACGCGAGGGGTACAGAAAGTGGGGGAGAGGTTGGTGGTAAGGTTGGTGGTAAGATTGGTGGTAAGATTGGTGGTAAGATTGGTGGTAAGATTGGTGGGGAGGAGAGTTGGGGGGGGGATGGTAAGGAGGTTGAACGGGAAAGTGGGGAGGAAAGAGATAAGGAGAGTGGTGGGGAGACTGGGAAGGAGAGTGATAAGGAGAGTGGTGTGGTGAGTGATAAGGAGATTGGGGAGGAGAGCGGAGAAGAGAATGGTCAGGAGGGTGGGGAGGAGAGTGAGAATCGAGAAGTGGGAAAAGAGAAGGAAATTTGCATTCTAGTTATGCATGGGAATAGGAACTGTGTAGCAGAGGAGGTAGAGAGGTGTGGGGGTCAAGGGGACAAGTGGAGTGAGGCAGGGATGACGGGTTTTGTACAGGAGAAGGATGGCCGCGGGGGAGGAGATGTGATGGAGGGGTTACGGATGAACATTGTGAAGGGTGGGGAAAGTGTTGGGGAAGGACGTTTGGTGGGCGTGGATGTGGAAGGGGGTGACGGGAGGTGGAGAATGGTTTTTGAGGGAGGAGGGGTGATGGGAGATGGAGAGGGAGCACGTTGGGGAGGGTTGGTCGAAGTGGAAGGAGGATTTGAGGGAGGTGATGCAGTGGGAGGAATGGAGGGAATGGAAGGAATGCAGACAGGGAGGGTGGTGAGCAGTGGTGATGAGGAGGGGTTGCTGGGGCATGGAGGGGAGAGTGTGGGGCATGGAGGGGAGAGTGTGGGGCATGGAGGGGAGAGTGTGGGGCATGGAGGGGAGAGTGTGGGGCATGGAGGGGAGAGTGTGGGGCATGGAGGGGAGAGTGTGGGGCATGGAGGGGAGGGTGTGGAGCATGGAGGGGAGGGTGTGGGGAATGGGGAGGAGAGAGTGGGGCATGAAAGGAAGGATGTGGGTCTTGAAGGGGAGAATGCGCGGCATATAAAGGAGGGCATGGGGCATGAAGAGGATGTGCTGGCGGCTGGAAGTGCGATGGGCGGAGATGGCGGGGAAGCAGGAGGCATGGGTGATGATGGGATGCACATACCGGTACCAGTACACAGTGAGGAGGATGCTGAGGAGGACGAAATAATTGTCTGGAGTGGTCTTGGAAAGGGATCTGTGTAACATGGATGGAGGAAGGGGTAAGTGATGGGAAGAGGGAGGGTGGAATGGAGATAAATTCAAATTCTGGAATGGAAATGTATCAATATACGTGATTTTGATATTGGGTCATCTAGTGTGCCTATTTTCTCACCGTGGTCATAATTTGGAAAGGGGAGAATTTATGTACACAGGCGGAAGAAAGGCCAGCAAGGTCTCATCGATATAAAATAGCGGTCCCGTCCCATTCGTTTCGCACTGGCACACACACGCTAATAGAGAATCCGACGGACACGACACGTTGGCGTTGCCTTGTCACCTGCTGCAGGTCGTTAGAAGTCGTTATCGGCTATTCCGCTGTGGTCAAGGGGTTACTTTACAACCTTTGCCTGCTGTCACCATTCCAATGTCTGCTAGCGCGGCTCGACTCTCGTTTGCCAGCATTGCAAGGATCTTTGGCAGAACTCCCCTTTCCTGCCCTCGCATTCCCCTGCGTGGCAGATTAACCCCCCTGCCTCGCGTTCCACCGACCTCAACCTGCCGTACTTTCCTCAAAATCCCTTGTTCAAGCTTGAGAAATTGGTGCGCTTGTACGTCTTCGTATAACTAGTAGGACCTTTTCACTCTCACCGAGCAGTAGGTTGTAGATAATTCATGCCATGCAGACTAGAAAATCTACGTTTTCTGCATAAAGTGTCAGACGGGTCGCAACCTGTTCGGGGCGGTTGAATCGTGAGCGACGGTTGAACGACGATGGCCTCAAAGTTAGAGATTATGCGAGCCGCTATTCCTCTTATCGTTTTTATGTTACTGGTTCGGCATTCCCATGGGCGGCGGTTCGTACCAGAAACAATGCAAGGGCTTCGAGACACCATGATGATACGGAACGAGGAACCGTCCATTCTCGCGGAAAATTATAGTGGCGATTCTCTCCGAGTCCCAGGTTCGTCTTCCTTCAAGCTTCTTGTAACTGATAGTGGTCTAATGCTAATATTCGGCTTCTAATCTTCGGCTTCTTCTTCATGCTTAGCAAGCACCCACGATAATGTCACAAGAAGATATCGTGCATGAAACCAACCTTCCAGTCAATCGATACTTCTCACATGTGTTTGGGAGTTTTTTCAATGAGAGCACCCTGCTCCCCATCCCGGTGCGCAGAAATCCACAACATGATCTCAAGGCGGTCACTCAAAGTGACGGGCAGCTCGTGGTATGCCGTGGGCTTCGCAATCGGCTCGGCTTTCATATTCATCGGACTGTTCATTCTGGCCGTGTTCATACATTCGCGGATCAAGGCATACAGGAAGGCCAAGGAGAGCTCCACTGAGACAGCGAAGACCAAGAATCTCAATGAACCTGTTCCTGAGGCTACTAGTAAGTGTAAGCCGAACGAGAAGCATCGTTGGGGGAAGTACGAGACATATTATTTGTTTGGCGGGGGTCACACAAAGAAGCAAGCCGCACACGAAGCACCCAGCCATTCCCTGCCACAGCAAGCGCCGGAGGCCGCAGGACCAGTGACAGCACCAGCCACTGCCGCTACCGCTACCGCTGCTGCTGCCGCTGCCGCCGCTGCTGCTGCTGCGAGAGCACAGCAGCAGCCAAATGAAGTGGGGAATGCTGACCGCGCAGGGCTACTCTACCAAGCCCAGCCTCCGGCAGTATCAGCCGGAGCTAGGGGAATGGTTGCGCTGGGAGTGGGGGGCGACGGGCAGGCGCAGGTGTGCGTGCAGTACTCACTGGCGGAGGTGGCGCAGGCGACGAACGAGTGGGCGGAGAGCAAGCGCATTGGCGGGGGAAGCTTCGGGGATGTGTACAAAGGCGAGTGCCCCCACAACCCCCAGCTCGTGTGGGCCGTGAAGCGAGCCAAGATCCTCACCAACGACTTCAAGCGAGAGGTATGGATGTGTATGGTGTGGTGCGGTTTGGTTTGGTGTGTTGTGGTGTGGTGCGGTACATGAAGCGGTTCACTGCACTGGTGTAGGATGGAGTAGACCCCCCTCAGTGGTGTGGGCCGTCAAGTGAGCCAAGTTTCTCACCAACAAGCGAGAGCTAGTAAAAGGCAAGGGAGAAGTGAAGGTGAGGAGAGTGAAAAGGAGGTAGCTCAGAGACTAGAAGGGCGGGACGGCTGCACGAGCCACCACCATGACTTTATGCTGCCAAGTTCTTACATTTTTGTTACATGCCTTTCTGTTGCGATACGGCAGGTGAATGAGATGGCAACAAAGAACCACCCGAACCTGGTGAGGCTGGTGGGGTATTGCCTGGACTTCAGCCCTGTGACAGAGCGCATGGAGCAAATTGTGATCTACGAATTCATGGCCAACGGTGACCTCGAACAGTGGATCGGCCCTTGTGAGCAGCTCTCTCATTTACATTCATCTTTTTTCATTTAGATACTCTTTGATTCTGTAATTTAACTCCCTCCAATCGTTTTCATCCGGTCTCCCTCTCTTCCCCCACTGCCACCTCAGCCGCAAAGCAGCATCTGACGATCCGGCAGCGGCTGGAGATTCTCATAGGCATGGCCCGTGGCTTGGAGTATCTTCACGAGTTTGGCATCGTGCATCGCGACATCAAACCCGCCAACATCCTCCTTGATGAGAAACTGAAGGTGAGATAGTGTGCGATTCAGTGTGAGACAAGTCAATCCCATGCACCATTATACATACTCATACGTGCTGCCTTCATACGCCCCTTACATCCTCGATGCCTGGTTGCAGGCGAAGATTGCGGACTTTGGGTTGGTGAGGCATGGGGAGGGTACATCTGTGGCTGCCACTCGAGTGATGGGAACGCCGGGCTATGTGGACCCCGCCTATTACAAGTCACAAAAAGCCACTCCCATGGCTGATGTGCACAGGTGTGTGAATGATATGAAATTAACACAGCTGTAAGGTTTAATTAGATACACGGTCGTCTGTATGCAGACTTATTATATGTGCCAAGTGTTCTTTTGCCCACGATCTATGGCGGAGACCAATCATCGCCGCATTCTTCTAGTCCCTCAATCCTCCTCTCTCTCTCCTGTCGACATCCTTCTCATCGTCCTTCTTGCTCCACCTTGCCAGCTTTGGAGTGGTGATGCTGACCATTCTCACGGCACGCAAAGCTGTTTGGAACTTGGAGTCAAGCCTGGTCAACCTCAAGGCGTGGGTAAGTGATTCCTGCTGCATACAAGCTTCCCTCCCCCTCACCCGTTTTGCCTTAAAGTGCGTTCTGGTTTTGCAATCTGTGCTTGCTCATTCCGTGTGATATTCCCTTGAATCGACAGGTGGAACCTCTAGTGGCGGCGAAGGATGTGGCAAGCTTCAAGGATCCGTACCTGGAAGCCCCAGATACCATGGTGCTGCGCCTGGCTCGCCTTGCCCTCAGCTGCACTGCCATGCCTACTGCATCCCGACCGTCCATGAGCCGAATCCTTGGAGAATTGCTCGTTATTAAGGACGAGTATTTGGGAGCAAGGGTTGACAGGATGGCAGTGCGAATTGACCAGGAGCTGGGAGGTTCAACAAATGCTGACTTCAATGTGGAGCTTGCCCGGATCGAAGGAATGCAGACTAGCAGTGCATATTCTAGCGATGCAACACGGTGATTATCTTGATTCCAGGGAGAGTGCTTAAGCGGCTGAGTTTTTGGTACTTCACAGGATTGTCGAGCACATGAATGCACTTTGGCTCTCAAATGCGAGGTTATGAAAACTGCTATGCAAGAAACAAGGCTCTGGCTATTCCCGAAACGAAGGCCAATTCAACTTTTTGCAATAAGGCCATGTTTGGCAAAAGCTAACACGTGGTATTACAAACACGGGCAATTGGTAACGGGTGAAGAATGGTCGAGGCTCGGTGCACAGTGTTCTATGCGCTGGGGTCTGGTGCGGTGCAAGGAAAGTTCAATATCACTACCCATTATAAGTCATCCGTTTTCATGGTAGTGCATGCATGTCGCAAAACCCTCGGTTCCTCAAGTACTTCCGGGGGACGTTTATGTATATATACATACATATATATATGTGTGTGTGTGTGTGTGTGTATGTGTGTGCGCGTGCGTGCGTACGTGCGTGTGTGCGTGTGTGTGTGTGTGCGTGTGTGTGTGTGTGAGTGTGTGTGTGTGTGTCTATGTGTATCTGTGTGTGTCTGTGTGTGTGTGTGTGTGTTTATGTGTGTGTGTGAGTATATATGTGTGTGTGTGTGTGTGTGTGTGTGTGTGTATCTCTTTCCCAGGGGTGCCCTAGCCGTCTTCGGTCGGCATGTAATTGTCAAATTATATGCATGTCATACATGTGTAGGCTGTAGTGGGATAGCTAATATGGGGTACAACCTCATTAGGGTTTCATATTTGTACCAAACCCTGATCTAGTCAATCCATTCCTGCTACTATATTCTAACATGGTTTCAGAGCACTAGGTCCTTAGGACCGTCTTTTTTTCCAGGCCCACCTACCTGTGAGGATCTAGGATTGAGCTCAGAAAAGAGAGTTTGAATTGAATGGTTCACATGGGTACAACACGAGGCTATATATAGTCTCGACACAAGGCAGGTAACCCAGGTGTTACGCGAATGTTCTGAGGGTCGCGAAGCGCCCCGAACAGAACCTTCCCGAACTCAGTAGAAAACAATTCGGTGGAAACCGAATAGGCTTGAGTTCAGTATACCTAACCTGGTTCGGTGCTATAACTATAATAAAATATAGGAATGCACCTAACCTAGGAAATCAAGCATATCTATGCATGATAAAATAAACCCAAGCTAGATATAGCATAATAAAGTCTAGGCAAGCTAGCAAAGCCAGCATAAGCCATCGTACTCTCACAGGTCCCCCCCTCAAAGCTGGGTGGCGTGAGAAACACCCTGTTTGACAAGATAGGCCTTGAGAGCACGACGTGCATTGCCCATATCAGCTTCTGCAACCCAACTGTCCTCAGTGGGGTCGTATCCCTTCCAGTGTATCAGGAACTCGAGGGTCTTGCCGCCGCGGCGCCGATGAGTGAGAACGCGCTCCACTTCATACTCAGGTTCATCCTG